ATAATGTTGATGGTGTCATTATCCTTACTTCTCTCGCCTGTTCAATTTGTCGATTTAGGCAAGATGACCTTGATCAGGAGCCTCCTTTTTCTGATCTTCTTGAGGCTGGTTCTTCTCTACCCCCACAAGGAAAAGATCTTCTTTAACATGCCTCTCTGAATAAGGTCTTCAATATCTCTTTGCAGAATCCTACAATTATCGGTGTTGTGGCCATGATCCCAATGATAATGACAGTATTGTCGAATATCCCTTGACTGAGTGTTTGATTTCATACGAGATGGGGGATCGATGATGCCCTTCCTTTTGAATAAAATGTAGCATCTTAGAGAGATCTTTTGGTCTCTTCTGTCGGTTAGGCCGAGTCGAGACTCGGACTTGGGCCAGTTGTCTTCAACTTTCTTTCTTTGGGAGCACTTGGCCACGGAAGCTTCCAGTCATGCTGCCTTCTTGTGAGCGTGGCTATCCTTGACGTCCATATGTGAATGAGCTCTAGCTATGAGTTGGTCAAAGTTGGTTATCCGATTCATAATGAGAGAATCAAACAGCTTCTCGTCCTCAAGACCTGTAATGATCGCAGCCATGGCGACCATGTTGCGAGGGTCCTCCACTTCCAGGCGTTTGGCCTAGTATCTCTTGAGATACTCCCTCAAGGTATCCCCTAGTCTCTGCCTAATTTCTAGCATGAGAGCAAAGGGCGCCTTCTGCTTTATATCTGCCAGAAAACGATGTGCAAATTTTTGGCTTAGTGGCTCGAAGCTATAGATGGACTTCTAATCTAGCGAGATTCCACCACATCTTCATGCTGCAACTGAGAGTGCCAGTGCTGCTCTTCATGGGGAGCAACAAGTGATGAAGGAGGCTAAGAGGAAGAATACGGGTGTTGAGTTTGTTCGTAAGGAGGAAAATTGCTATTGAAGAGATTGGGCTAGCCGTTGATTAGCCTCATCCAATTGGGCTTGGATGCTATAGCTTGAGTTGGAAACTTCTCAGGGGTTTGGAATCAAGGACCGGTCATGATCAGCCATTTCCTCAAAAGAAGAAGAAAAAACCCCACGATGGACGTCAAACTGTTGATATTAGTCACTTAGTTAGGAGAGTGACAATGGTTTTGGAGGAGTTAAGGGTCCCTCTATCTCCTTTGATGGCTAATTATGACCGTAAACAGAGATTCTTGCACACAGTAACATAGTTAGAGGATTAGAGTTGGGTTCTCTGATGTGCTCTCTGATGCTCAAGTAAGTTGCTAATTAAATGGTCCAAAACACTGAATTTAGTTTTTGAGTATTTTATAGCGAAGATTGCTCGTACGTCCACGCAAAAAAATCATCCCTATTTATAGAAATCCACAAGGAACTTTTTGGTAATTTGACCTAGTCGGCGCGAGTGGTTGATCAGATGGTGCTTTACATGTGTGGGTCACAGAGCAAGCGAGTCATCCTCATGTCTAATGCGACGGTGACAGGGCAACTAAAGTGCTGGCATCATCCAAGGAGCCATTATGAATCTTGTGGGGGAGTCAAAATGACTCTAGCCATGCACTAAATGTGATAGCTACTAGACTATGTAGATAAGCACAGTGAAGCTGATAGGTCAATCAGTCATTCGAGACATTCCGCAGTGAAGTTGAGTAAAAGATGCCATTCATCTATGAATTCCGGACTCCTTGAACAGATTTCGGCCTGAAGGTGATTTTCTTCTTGGGTTCGGGTCGAGAGACCGACCGGAAGACGCCTTTCATCTCGGATCTGCATCCCCCCAAAAAAAACAGGTCCGCTATGTGCATATTCAGGTCAGGTTCTTAAATTTGGAGAAGGTAAGTCAGTCAAACAGGGCACGTGGCCGCTGAAAGGGGGTCAATTATACATAATAATTTCCAAGGTACAACAATATAAGATGCAAATACCATATTTCTAGTATACATGGAGTACATCTGAACATTCAGTAGCAGCAATTACACGTGTATAACGTTGTAGACACAGCAATAAGTATTATTACACTAACTTCTTCATACTTCTGTCCCCTTCCTAGAGAATAGTCACAAGACAGAATCAGTTATATACATGCACAATGCAAATTATCAGCACGATCGTGTATATATATACAGACATATTGCTCTGAGGAGACTTAATAAAATTCACGATCGGGTAATATAATGGGAGCCAGGAGGGTCCAAATATAGAGAAGAGCAGTAGCCCACTCTGTGCAAATCCTCACCCAGGTTGAGGTCCAGCCAACATCGATTAGCTCAGAGCTATCAGATTTGGAGCTAGTCCATCCAGTAAGAAGCATGGCGGAGTACATGCTAGCCAGTGCAAATATAAGATGGAAGAAGGTGTACGAGTAACTAACTGGTCTCGCTTCAGTCTCTTTCTTCTCTCCTTTTCCTGACTCCAGTTCGCCTTCTTCAAGCAGTGGCTTTGTCGAACCTGCAACATAATTGTTAACTGATACTCTATTTGTGTCTTGACTCAAATGGTAGTATTTAAAGTTTATAATGGTCGGTATCAACAGAGATGAATATCAAGGAAGTAGGATTTTGGGTAAGCACTATGGTTCATCATCACCATCTAAATGTACTTTAAGCAGAACTAGCAACCTGTTAAAGTCTGCACGGTGGTCTTTTCTTCCAGGAAAACACTTGATTCTGATTTTTTTTAACCTAAGATTTTCTGGATTCCAAGGAGTGTCTGATACATAGATCATGGACAAAAGTTTAGGCTGCTGCTGATGCTTTTTTTTTGTGCAGGATTTTAGGGCTTCTAATTTTAATTTCTTGCAATTTCCAATTTTGCCACTAATTTTTGACATTTTCTGCATAATATTTCAATTTCTTAATTTGTTGCTTGCTGATCCTTATTTCTTGCTGGAATTTTGGATTTCTAATTTTAGTTTCTTCCTATTTTCTGATTCTTATTCTACATATAGTTCTCTTCCACCAACTTTCACAAAAAAAAAGAACAAAAAAGATGTCACAATTTTTTGAATTTTTTTATTTGATGCTCCCCGCTCCGACCCTTTTTCTTGCAGGATTTTTATGGTTTCTATATTAATTTCTTGCAAATTTTTATTCCAATTCTATTGTAATTCTTTTACTAATCACTAATAATTTTCAATTTCTTCTGCTCAAAAATTTTTTATTTCTTTCTCTACTACTTGTTGACCCTCTTTCCTAGCTGAATTTTTAGTGTTCATTGATTTCTTGCAATTTCTAATTATACTTCTATTTGTAGTTCTTTTGCTAATAAATTTTTATTTTTTTTCCTGCTGCTTTCTTTATTTCCTGCTTACTGGCCCTTTTTCCTTTCAGGATTTTTGGGGTTTCTAAATAATTTCTTGCAATTTCTAATTCTAAATCTAATGCCTAGATGGTCAATATGTACCTTTACTCCATGATGAATCATGTAGGTGATCACCAGGGCAGCGAACTGGCACTGGTTATAATTTGCAGTGCCGGGATATCACCCGAGTTTCTTATCATCCAGATCTCAGATAACTTACCAAATTATAAATTGATGCTGTTGGGAACTGAATTTTCCATACAAAACCCATGATTAAACAGAAAAGTGTTCAACCCTGAAAGAAAAGGAATACATTCTGAAACAGACGAAAGTCAACAGATTTACTTCATTTTACTTATGCTTTATCAATTACAAATGGGTGTTCAATGTTGTACCAAAGCTAGATTTGTACACACAGCATGAAGACTTCCACGCATGTCATCTGACCAAAACTATGTTACTACAACATCACCCAGTTCAAAGTTTACCAGAGCCCAAAGAGTTTTTGGAGTTTATTTCAATTGAAGAATGTGGAATAACCAGAACGCACTTAAAAGGCTGGATGTATATTACCTGACTTCGGAGAAGATGGAGGAGAGAGAAAAGTTGTGGAAGATCCAGCTCGAACTGCAGAGTATACGACAGAGAGAGTGGTTGTGAGCATCCCTAGAATAAGTGTCCCTGTGGAAACTTGTCTGGTATGTTTATGGAGACCATTGCAAGCATAGTCTCGTGGCTCACTTGAAAGACCACTGTAGCAGAGATATGCACAGTAAACAGAGATCACAGAAGCAGGCAGAAGGCTGCCGTTTACCTGCCCATATCAAGTTATTCACACACCTCAGGCCATTTAAGATGTAATATACAGCCCCACTTCTTTATATAAGAATTCAATATTCAAAATATACCTTCCAGCCAAAATTGAACATTATGTAGGATTAATTATATCTGCTGAGGTTACAACAACCACTTTCAATAAAGCCTTTTATCACAAACATTTGTGTTAACTGCACGAATCCTACCATCATAGAAACTAAAACATTCAGGTTGTCTTAGCACATTATTATGACATTCTTGCATCAAGACCGGACAGACGACAATGTAGACAAAAGCTTAGTCCTATCCCACATCCAAGTATTCCCTTGCGCTGGTTTCTTGAAATACAGATATCATTGGTATGCCGTATGATAGACATGCTTATGACCTGAAAATTATATTATAATTTATATTATAGTATATAGATGTACTTATATCACATCAGACAAGTAGCGTCCTTTTGGGTGACATGGGAACATGGCATTGGGAGGGCAGTTTTGTTTATAGTAATGAAGAAGATGATAGTTCTAAATGGGAGGGAGTGACAAATTTCTGGTGCAACCCTCCAAGACTCACACATATTCACACAGCTAAGTCACCAAAAGCGGCCTTGCCCATGAAGACAAAGTAAATTTCACATTTAAACTATTTTAACTGAGTAGTGAGAGGCTGAAAGCAAGTACCAAGTTAGGTCCAATATTCTCACTCACCTGTGGATGCAGTGCAATAACTCCAAATGCAAACGCAAGAATCATAGTCATGACAATGAAGAAAACATTGAGGCCACAATCATGTCCCGAGGGATTAAACCATATAAAAAGCACTCCTGAGAATGTGAATGCTGCGAGATAGCATGCTACTGATACTGAAAGTAAAGCAATATACCTGCAATATCAAACAAGAAGTTAAGCAATATAATGACCTTTCATCCAAATAGGTAAAGGTCTAGATAGAGCTGCTTCACCAACCATTTCTGCTCATCTTTCTCAACCCATGAATCATTCCACGTATGTGTGAAGTCCAGTAGTATGATCACTTGAACCAGTAAGAAGAAACCAGACCCAAACTTTGACAATGTTTCTGCATTACAAAGAAACATGAGTTAGGATGAACATGGTAAGCTCAAACGAACCCAATTATATGTGATGTAATGGATATTTATAATATTTCATTGTTGCTAACAATAATTAGTAGCTGAATTCATAAAGTTGAAGCTTGAAAATCGGCAAGGAATGGTATTAAGTAACAGAATACTTATTCATTGTAAGCTAATACCGAGTATTGCCAGCAATTTTGATCGAGGAAATATTTTTTTCTTGTACTGGCGCATCATTCTTACAAGAGTTAAACAAAGTTAACAAACCATTCATATCAGTGGGAGGAAATAGGAGCAAAAAATGACATGTCACAGACAATAGGTTGCAAGTCCATGATTGTTGCATTGCTTCTGAGATATGAAGGGCATGATTATCACTTGATCTGGTCAAAAGTGCTGTAGCTTTGCTTCAGCAGATTATTCTATATTTGAATCTTTGGCATATACAAAGTTAGGAAACATGTTAAACACTACTGGAACCTGGGATGAGGGTCAGGTATATGAATACTTTTCTCTCTACCTTGGAACATTCTCAGTCATGCTTGGAATTATATTTTCCTTATAGTTCCAAATCCCCGAATAAAATAACAAGTATTGTTAGCTATTCACTAGTTTCCAGCAGATCTCCAAACATGAAAAGAGAACTAATTAAAGAAACCTCATGTGTATGGGAGAAGCTTAATGTCGTAAAGCAACCAAACTAGACCAAAACTAACAGAAAAAGTTAGTGCCTCATATGGGTTTCAATTACAATATAATAGTCAGAATTGGAAAGATAGCAGGAATATAACCAAGTGAATGATTGGTTTGTTGTCATTGTTCTCATGGTCTTCCGACTTGTTTACACCAAGTTATATTAGAATCTATGCACATGCTACATGGTCTTGCTTTATAGTTTTTCTGTGATTATCGTATGCATATTGTATAAATATACGCATAAGCCCTGTCCTTTTATAAATAGTGATACCTATTATTATAATACGACACTCCATGCAGTATTGGATATCAGTGCAGCAATCATTTTGTACTTCTTTATTGAGACATAAAATTTTACCATCTAATTGTTTGATAGTAAGCAGCAGCATATATAGTGTTAAATAACCAGTGCTTTAACAATCAACCCGGTTGTCCTATTAAAGTCCATTATATCATATGCTAGAACAGATTTCCCATAAATCACATAAGGGGGCAAAAGATGGAAACATATGAAGAACGCTGGAAATTCTAAGCCAAGTAAATGCCCATTCCAATACGATTAATAGGTCTCAAATGACTATAAAATCAAAACAAACATGAGTATATTGTGCCTTGCAAGAGAGAAATTGATTAACTTTAGAAAAAAGCTGAGCAAGATTCAAATTCCTAGTACATAAGAGAGCTCAATATTATCTTAGAAGTTCTTCATCGACCATAAGTTGCAACTATTAATCTAAATGTACGCTGGGCAAAAAAAAACGAGAACTATGGAAGCTCACCATATATAGCTATGACCTCATTTGGAAGGAAAAACATGAGAACAATGATCACTATCCATACAATAATTTTAGCAACCCATCCACCATGATGCCATGCATCCCGTCTGTCATTTTGATCCTTGACACCAATCATCATCAGCGCAAATGTCATAAAGAACAAGAAATTTCCTAAACTCACGCGGAGAACTGCACTGGTTTGAAACCATTCTTTTGATGGCGTATCGGAGAAAGTATTTATCCCTGCATGAGAGATAAAATTACTATTCAAATAACTATCAAAAATTACTATTCAAATAACTATCAAAATTTAAGCTTTCAACAGACGTAACCCTCTAGTGGAAGGTCTGTTGAAGATAATGCTACATATAACTCGGGTATAATGAGAGTAGTTTCAACCCGAACAACATACGTCAGGTGCATACTCGCGAGATGGCAAAAATAATAGGCTAATTAGCACTTAATACCTTATAGTTAATGCTATTTGCACTTATATATCCTCATTTGTTTTTAGTAGCACTTACACACTCAAAATTGGCATTTTAGTACCTTCTGTTATGCAAACTAGAGACTAGTCATTCGAATAATCCCATGTGACACTCATAATAATCCCATGTGACACTCTTTGTGATATTTTAAAACTTTTGTTCTTGTAATGTTTGTTGAACTTATTGTTAAACCTATCCCCGTTCTATTTTAACTACTCAGGGGATATTCTCATGTTTGCATAAGAGAAGATACTAAAGTGCCAAATTCACAAACTTCGTGCTGCCAAAAGAACGTGAGGTATAAAAACGCAAACCAAGGAAAACTATAAGGTATATAAGTGCTAATTAACCAAAATAACTGATCAAATCAATGAAAATAAACAATCTGAAAAGGCACTAATCAACGAAATAACTGATCGAACCCTAGCAGAAGCTCGCTGGCACAAATCAATCATTGGTTCAAAAATCTGAGAGTGGCATACATGGTAATTTCTCGAGGAGAGGGGCGGCGACCTCTCTCAGGATCCAAGAGACGATGAGGGAGAGAGCGAAGACGTGCACGACGCGCAGCACGAAGCCAGGCAAGACGCCGCCCACATCGAATCGAATCAATTCGATCTCGAACTCACTCGCTTCTGATCTCGAGGTCGTCGGAGGCTGCTCGAGCTGTGGATACTATGGATGTGGCAAATTTGGGATCGAAAATGGTCGATTTTTGTTTTATGGGTGCCACGTAGAATTATGACGGAGGCCCCATTGACCAAATCCAACATCTATTTATGTTTTTTTTTTGGTTGGAGAATTTTTTTTAAAATGACCCTTATAAAAAATAATAATTAGGAACAATGAGTTTTTTGCTAAATAATTAGTAAAATAGATCTCTTTTTGGCTAGCTTGCCAAGGCTTACCAAAAAGAGAATGATTTTAGAAATTTTGATGCTTAAACACATGGTGACTACTAATCCCGTGTGTTTAGCGAGCGCAAATCAGCATTTAAATAAACCTAGAAAACTCATGGGATTTACTAGTCCTGTGTGTTCTACAGACAGCTCAAAACATGCACAAACATGCATGCATATGTTCCAACTTATCTCCTTTGCATATACAATATATCTTGTGCATAAAAACATTCAAATTCACCTCGTGTACGTATCCAAACAGTATAATCTCTATTTACTTATAATTTTTAAGAAATAAACATAATACACATCTAATCAATCCCAAACATCATAGCAAAACACAATAGATAACATTCCACGACAACCCATATTATATCCATACACTAAAATATTACAATAAATCCAAATATATCAAGTTTATTTATTTACAATAACTTATATCAATAACTTAAATAGAGCCCATACAAAAAATCCATAAATCTATCACATACAACCTAAAAGTCCGCCTCTTCCCCTTTGTCTCCCTCTTCGTACCCGCTCAAATGGCCATTGTCCTCCATGGACTTGAGCTTGCAAGAGCTCGCTCAGTTGCATGTGTGGTTGTGATAGTCCACCTTCATTGTCATTCGTACAAGGTCCATCTCGTCTTCGTCTATTTGGTCGGCGAGCATATAAAAGTTCCTTCTGCGCCATCACCTCGCAACCATCATGAAGATCCTCATGAGTTCGATTCAATGCTCTATGAACCCTCTGCACTATCCGCTGATACATAGATGCACGTACTCTTAGATATGTTCCTGCGACAGAAAGTGCTAGACCATCATTTGCAATGCCCTCAACATCATTAATAGCAACTATCTGCAATTAAGCCAAAAAGTTACATGTATAAGCAAATTGTTGTAATATAAAATAAGTGGACTTAATTTTAAATTACTTACAAGTTTTCTCTCATCTACATCCTTTTCCATGTATCTCCGTTGTAGGGCATATTGTTGGTATTCATCGAGTGGAGTCGTGGTCTGATTTATTATCCATCTTCTAGTAATCCCCCAATAACATCTAATATAATCCGATTCCTACAGTGGAGGATCAATCTGCTCCATGATACTCAAATGTCGATCAGTCTACTGTGTATGTACTGATGATGTGCATTTTCCCAGCTTATCTGATGCTCGCCTTTCTTGGTCTTTCTCTCTATTCTTTCGACTTCTTGTGGAATGTGTTGTACCAAACCAAACTGACTAAGCACGCGATCCGGTACATGCATCTCCATAATTTTAAAGCATATGAGAGCAACCCTTGCTCTCCATTTAACTTGGCCCTCCACGTGGTAGATGAGCTAGGTGATCACCGTATGGCTGCCACTTGAACTAGAAAATACTCCAAATATTAGTATCTTTTTGAAAATTGGTGGTAGATTACATTTTCTTAAAGTAAAATTCGATACCTAATAATTCTTCTTGCAATCAGGCTTGTTTCTGTAAAAGTCTAGCTCTCTTGCCAAGGTCTCATCATAGCATTTTTGTGAAATTACCCTAGAGGGGGGGGGGGGGAATAGGTTATTTGCTAACCTAATTTGATATTGATGCCAAATTAAAACTTATCAACAATATCCTAGCAATATGATATACAATGAGATATATACAAGGATAAACAATATGAAACAATAAGCAATATAAACAAGCACAAGATATGATAATGATAAAGTGCGTCAAGACAATCGCAAACACAAAGGAAATGATCACGGAGTTCGATCAACCCTCAATCTACGTATTCGCTCCTCACCTTGAGGAGATACTCCACTATCACAAAATCAACTACACAATCGGTTTTTCTAGCTCACCGAAAACTTTTACAACTCACACGTTGATAATCACACAATACACTTCTCTAAGTGTTGGTCGACCCGTGTCACATTCCTCAAGTGTTTGGAATTACTATCTCTCCCTACGCTTTTATAACCAAGCCACTCCTCTTGGAATTGACCATGTTCTTCTCCAAACCACTTCTCTAAGTATCCTTGTATATTACAACGTGTTTTATAATAAGTGTAAATAAAATGATTTGTTCTCTAATACAAATTGAGAATGAAATTTAAGCTCTCTCTCAATGTAACAACCCCACAACACAATTATATAATATGTGTAATACTAAAGCTAAAGTGGTTGTGTGTGCAAATAATGAGTATAATGAAAATTAAACTCAAATTAATCTAGTAAATATAAATAAGAATCAAAATAAAAATAAGCTATATAATGAGTTTAGAAAAACTTTTCTAAACAAAGAGGGATGAAGAATTGAGGTAGAGCTCCTCAAAAATGAAATTGAAATCCTCCTCTTTGTGAAACTTTCTTCACATAAACAAACACACCAAAACTTGGATTTAAACTGGTGTAAACACTCTTTAAAACCTTATAAAAACTCTTATTAAAAAACTAAGTGTTGAGGACTATTTATAGCCTCTCAAAAGAATTAGACCGAAACTAGCCGTTATGCAGAAAAATCCCCGATCGGTCGACTGGTGATATGTATCGGTCGACTGGTGACTTGTATCGATAGACTAATAATATGATCGTTGGCTGATCTGGCAAAATAGCAAAAATCGGTCGACTGATGATACCGCATCAGTCGACAGGTGGATGCTCATCGGTCGACTGATCGCATGTGATCGGTCGACTGATAAGTCTGAAAACTCAAACACTGAAATACACTGATCGGTCGACTGGTGGAACCACATTAGTGTTAGGTCTCATGTTTATGAGCCTACTATCTAATCTATTTTTGATGATTAATAAACAATTCCTAATAATGTTTGTCGAGTGTTTAATTGCTTGTTAGGTATTCTACACAAAGATCCTCTGTTGGAGATTGGATAGACTTGCGCCTACACGATCATATCCATTGGAGGATGGAAGGAATATCGGAATGAAGCTTTGCAATTCAAGTCAAGTACAAGTTCAAGCTTCACCCGCAACCAAGACGTGCATATCGAAGATCTCTTAGCTTGGGTATATTGTTTCTAGTTTAGATCTTATACTTTGTGTGTTTATACTTAGAGCTCAAATTATACACACACATAATTTACGTTTTATTGCTTTCAAGTTTAGCCAAATAAATATGAAACAAATCGATATAGTTATATACACACATATTTATTTCATATTTATACGTGCTTGAAATGATTTCATTAAAATTAAAATTTAACAATTTCAAATCAATGAAATTATGTTACCGTTTTCATATTTTTGAAAGTTTGCACAATATGTGTTTACGGATTAAAAGACTCGATTATATCTTTTATACAGTCTATTAATCCATTCAAAAGAAGTTTCAAACTTGTTTGAAATTATTTTGTCAAAATCATGTGCTTTTGAGATTTCGTATTTTGACTAATTTTACAAAACGATAAGTTTTCACAAATGGGAAATACAATTTAAAAAATTATTTTTGTAACATATTTATTTTTATGTTTATAAATATTTACCAAAGTTTTATAATTTTTGGAATTTACTTGTTATTTTTAAACCCACTTCAAAGTTAAATTTTACCGTGCATATATGTCACTGAGCATGTTATCAGTCAACTGTTGATGACCATCAGTCGATCGAAGAAATGCGCTAGAAAGACCGATTGTTTCTGTTCAGTTGACTGATGAACCATTAGTCAACCGAATCAGGTCATCAGTCGACTGAAGCAGGTCATCAGTCGACTGATAAATTTATCAGTCGACTGATAAATTTATCAGTCGACTGATAAATTCATCAGTCGTCTGATGAGTGTTGAGCTGCCTCCAACAGTCAGCTCATCAGTCGACTGAATAGTACTTTTAGTCGACCGACGAGTGTCTGGAAGCCTGTAACGGCTAAGTTTTTTTGTTTTATTTGTTTGTGATTTTTGGTTGGTTTGAGAGGATATAAAAGACCCTCATCTCTTATTTATTTCTTATGGATGTTTAAGTGAGTTTACACAAGTTTTGTTTCAAAGATTACGTGTGTTTTTTGGTTTATGCAAAAAGAATTTTACAAGGAGAGGGGATCAATTTCGGTTTGAGCATTCAACTTCACATCTTCATCTCTTTTGTTTTAGAGAAGTTTTCTTAAACTCATTATCTAGCTTGTTTATATTTCAATTGTTATATTTTTACTTGCTAGATTAATTTTGAGTTTGATTTCATTTTTACTCATTGATTACACACACCCCTTGAACTTTTTGTATTTTCACATATTTTATACATTTGGGTTGTGGGGTTGTATCTTTGAGAGTGAGCTTACAATTCATTCTAATCCATTGTAGAGAACAAAACTTTTATTTGAGCTTAATTGTTGAGAGAACACATTGTAGTACACAAGGATACTTAGAGAAGTGGTTGGTGAGAGATGAGGTCAATTCCAAGGGGAGTAGCGTCGGTAGTAAATCCAAGGGAGAGGTCGTAATTCCGAGCACTTGAGGAAGTTGACACGGGCTAGGCCAACACTTAGAGAAGTGTGTTGTGTGATTGCATTTGTGAGAGTTATAAAAGTTTTTGGTGAACTTAGAAAACCGATTGTGTAGTTATTTTTGAGATAGTGGAGATTCTCCTCGAGGGTGAGGAGCAGAGACATAGGTCGTGGGTCGATCGAACTCTGTGATCATTTGCCTCTCTTATTTGTATGTTCATGTCGCCCTTTGTTTAAATTGTATATCTTTGCATATATCTCATTATATTTATCTCATTACTAGGATATTTGTTAATTAGTTTTACTTGACATTAATATCAGATTAGATTAGTAAATACCACATTCACCCTCTCTCTAGGATACTTTCTTTTGGTATCAGAGCTTGGTGCTCTTGATTTGTGGCTTAATTGCCTAGAGTCAAAGATCCAAGCTTTCATATCTTGCTAATCTAGTTTTGTAATTTTTTCTATATTGCTTGCATTTATATTATGGACATGCACGGTACACCTAGTTTAGGCTATGCTATTAATATTACTCTAAGAAGTGATAATTTTTCCTATGCTCAATGGTGTGTTAGATTTAAATTTTTTGTTAGATCTAAACATTTTGATTCATGGGAAGTTATTGATTATACTTATGTTGTACCCACTTTGGAGAAATTTAAGGGGAGTAATGATGAGAAGAGAACCATGAATAAGCTATTGTTAAAATTTTTGCTAAATGCCTTTGATTCATCTATATCTAACAAGCTTGGTCATTTTGATAGTGCTTACAAATTATAAATATTTATAGAAGTACATCAAGAAAACTTAATGGAAATCCGACGTGTTTTGGCAGATTCCACTTCAAGTGATATTGGAGCTTCATCATACACATGGTCACTAGGCGATAGCCCTAGTGAGGTATGCGATTCGGATTCCAAAGGTGAATTATCTATTAGTGAACTTGCATGTACATATGATAGATTAATGCATGCCTATAAAAAATTACATCATAATTTTATTGATTTAAAAAGCAAGCATGTAAGCTTTAAAACCGATCATGAGTTGTTAGCATCTAAGTTTGATAGTATTGTTAAAGAAAATATGATTGTTTGGTGGGAAAAATAAAAGAAGAAAATGGAGAATTGAATTTTATTATTCTCTCTAACAAACTTAGAAAAAGAAATTATAAATCTTCTCGATCGGATTCTCGATTTACAAAAGAGAGAAAGATCAATGGAGACCCTTTCCTTTGTTTAACCTGAATTCTTCTTGGTGTCGATGGGCTTTCGATCTTGTATCCCGTTGACAATCCGAATGTTTTACTTCACTAAAACATGGTTTCTTCCTCTTGATTTATGTTGAGGAGGACTTGCGTGGCAATTTTGAACAGAACTCTTGATGAGTTTAGGAACTCAGTGCAAATTTTAAACTCTATAGA